GTAGAGGAGTGAGGGGTAGAGGTAGAGGAGTGAAGGGGTAGAGGAGTGAGGAGGGTAGAGGAGTGAGGAGGGTAGAGGAGTGAGGAGGGTAGAGGAGTGAGGAGAGGAGTGAGGAGGGTAGAGGAGTGAGGAGGGTAGAGGAGAGGAGTGAGGAGGGTAGAGGAGTGAGGAGGGTAGAGGAGTGAGGAGGGTAGAGGAGTGAGGAGGGTAGAGGAGTGAGGAGGGTAGAGGAGTGAGGAGGGTAGAGGAGTGAGGAGGGTAGAGGAGTGAGGAGGGTAGAGGAGTGAGGAGGGGGGTAGAGGAGTGAAGGGTAGGGAGTGAGAGGAGAGGAGTGAGGAGGGAGTAGGAGGGTAGGAGTGAGGAGGGTAGAGGAGTGAGGAGGGTAGAGGAGTGAGGAGGGTGAGTAGAGGAGTGAGGGGTAGAGGAGTGAGTGAGAGGGGTAGTGAGGGGGTAGAGGAGTGAGGAGGGGGTAGAGAGGAGTGAAGGGGTAGAGGAGTGAGGGGGTAGAGGAGTGAGGAGGGTAGAGGAGTGAGGAGGGTAGAGGAGTGAGGAGAGGAGTGAGGAGGGTAGAGGAGTGAGGGGTAGGGTAGAGGAGTGAGGAGGGTAGAGGAGTGAAGGGGTAGAGGAGTGAGGAGGGTAGAGGAGTGAGGAGGGTAGAGGAGTGAGGGGTAGAGGAGTAGAGGGGTAGTGAGGAGGGTAGAGGAGTGAGGGGGTAGAGGAGTGAGGAGGGTAGAGGAGTGAGGAGGGTAGAGGAGGGTAGTGAGGAGGGTAGAGGAGTGAGGAGGGTAGAGGAGTGAGGAGGGTAGAGGAGTGAGGAGGGTAGAGGAGTGAGGAGGGTAGGGGTGAGTGAGGAGGGTAGAGGAGTGAGGAGGGTAGAGGAGTGAGGAGGGTAGAGGAGTGAGGAGGGTAGAGGAGGAGGGTGAGGAGGAGGAGTGAGGAGGGTAGAGGAGTGAGGAGGGTAGAGGAGTGAGGAGGGTAGAGGAGTGAGGAGGGTAGAGGAGTGAGGGGTAGGGTGAGAGGAGTGAGGAGGAGGGTAGAGGAGTGAGGAGGGTAGAGGAGTGAGGAGGAGGAGAGGAGTGAGGAGGGTAGAGGAGGAGTGAGGAGGGGAGGGTAGAGGAGTGAAGGGGAGGAGTAGAGGAGTGAGGAGGGTAGAGGAGTGAGGGGGTAGAGGAGTGAGGAGGGTAGAGGAGTGAGGAGGGTAGAGGAGTGAGGAGGGTAGAGGAGTGAAGGGGTAGAGGAGTGAGGAGGGTAGAGGAGTGAGGGGGTAGAGGAGTGAGGAGGGTAGAGGAGTGAGGGGTAGGGAGTGAGAGAGAGTGAGGAGGGTAGAGGAGGAGGGGTGAGGAGGGTAGTGAGGAGGGTAGAGGAGTGAGGAGGGTAGAGGAGTGAGGAGGGTAGAGGAGTGAGGAGGGTAGAGGAGTGAGGAGGAGAGGAGGAGAGGGGGTAGAGGAGTGAGAGGGTAGAGGAGTGAGGAGGGTAGAGTGAGGAGGAGGAGGGGAGGAGTAGAGGATTAGTGAGGGGGAGGTATGAGGAGAAGGATTAGTGAGGGGGAGGTATGAGGGGGAGGATTGATGGGGAAGAGTAGTGAGGGGGAGGAGTGAAGGGGGTAGGAGGGAGAAGTGAAGAGGCAGGAAGAACGGTAGGAGGGAGGGAAGAAGGATGGGCAAGAGTGAGGGGTAAGAGGGAGGGGGAAGGGAGGGGAAGGAATGAGCGGGGATGGAGTAAAAGGAGGAGTGAGGGGGGAAGGAGGAGTGACGGGGGGGTGGGAGGAGTGAGGGGGGAAGGAGGAATGAGGGGTGAAGGAGGAGTGATGGGGGGGGGGGAGGAGTGAAGGGGAAAGGAGGAGTGAGGGGCGAATGAAGAGTGAGGGGCGAATGAAGAGTGAGGAGGGAAGGAAGAGTGAGGAGGGAAGGAAGAGTGAGGAGGGAAGGGGGAGTGAGGAGGGACGGGGGAATGAGGGTGAAGAGGAGTGAGGGTAGGGAGGAATAGTGAAAGGGGAGGAGGAGTTAGGGGGGAGGAATAGTAAGGGGGTAGTAGTGAGGGGGGGGTACGAGTGAATGGGAGGAGGAATGAGGGGGTATTGAAGAGTGAGGGAGTAGGAGGGAGGGGCAGGATGGGGGGAGGAGGGAGGGGGTAGGAGGGAGGGGGCAGGAGGAAGGGGGGGTAGGAGCAAGGGGTAGGAGCAGGGCAGGAGTGAAGGGATTGGAGGGAGGGCTGGAGTGAGGGGGTAGAAGGAAGGGCTGGATTGATGGGGTAAGAGTGAGGGGGCAGGAGGTGAGGAGTGAGGAGGGAGGTGGTAGGAGAGAGGTAGGGGGTAGGGGGGAGGAGTGAGGGGGGTAGGAGAAAGGGCAAAAGTGATGGGGGTAGGAGGGGCATATTGAGGGGGTAGGAGGGAGGATTGAGGGGGCAGGAGGGAGGGTAGGAGTGAGGGGGGTAGAAGGGAGGGCAGGAGTGATGGGATTGGGGGAAGGAGTTAGGGGGTAGGTAGGAGGGGTAGGTATGACCTGGCTATATTGGTTATGTCATGTCTAATTGTTGCATGCTGAATGCTCAAAGCCCCTTTCTTTATTCAGTGTTGTCACATACCTCATGTGGGTGTGGATAGGCAAACACTCATCTAGTTAAACTTATCTCGTAGTACTTTCAGAGACCGGTAATTTAGATTGTGTAAGTAGAATCTCCAAATAAATGGATCTTTAAAGCGCATTCCTATTTGGGTTTAAAAGGTTGTACCGAATGAGAAACTCGGATAAAATAGTATAACACGAGCAATGTTGTTGTTCAGTTTGGTTGCCTAAAGCACATACAAGGACTAGACATTACCAGGCATTCCTGTATACCTTACCTTATGCTATAAACATTGGCACAACCCTGGGTTTTATTGATTTAAATGGCCACAGGGAGTCATACAAAATTGCAGGTTATAATGTTATTAGTTTATCCACTGTGGTGACAAGTGGGCTGACTGATGTCCGTTGACACCTGTATCGTGCTTCAGTTTACTCACTAGATCGTCCTGTCTCTGGACTCGTCTGTAGGAAGTATGTCAAAATAAAATGGATCATTAATAGCATAAGACTTGGGGGTAGGAGAGAGTTGCAGTGTTTGTCGTGGCCTTCAGTTGTTCCTAGTATTAGTCGACTTAGTTTTAGAAATATTTGTGTTGGCCAGTGTTGTTGTTTGAAAGTAGATGTGTTTTTGTAAAGAAGGTGGGGGTTCTTCATGGTTGGGTACAATTATCTAAGTGATTATAGATATCTGGTGTATAAATGTTTTGACATTAGAATAACTACCTTCTTTTCGTTAAAGTCAAAAGGTCGCTTGATTAATTGTAGGGTTTTGTTAGTAATTTTTGTGTACTGGAGCAACTTTTGGTTAATGATGGAATCTAGCTCAAAGGTCCTTTATTTCATTGTTCTTCTTCATTTTAATGTGGTAGTTGTGATATGGATTGTTCTGGGTCACCTGTAAGGTTTTGCAATGTTAAATACTGTATATAATAATAAGAATTTGCCAGTCTTGTAACCATTTTTAGAGTTCCCGTAGATCTTTGTAAGGGCTCGATATCATTTTTTCATGTTCTCTGTACCATAAATCTTGGTGTCATCTGCAAAATTGATGTGGTTTGTAATAATTTGATTTGTCATTGAGGTATATAAGGTTTAGACCCTTGTGGTACGCTTCGTGCCGTATTTTCCAGTCAAATCTGTTTCAGAGGAAGCTTTAATTTGTTTTAATTAAGCAATCTTTTTATCCTTTATTCCATGTGCTTCATATTTCACTCCTAGCCTTTCATATGGTGCTTTATCAAACACAGTGTGTGTGTTTGAATAGCTGGTTATCAGAAAAAAAATGTGAACAGGTTTGTTTTTAACAAACCAATGTTTTGTTGATTTTACAAGAATATTAATGTTTCTTCCCTTCAGGACCTTGCAGATGTGAGGTCAAAGTAATTTGAAAGTTTTCTGCTTGGCAGTTTCAAAAATTTGAGTAACATTTGAAATCTATCTAGCGAGTTTAAGTGGCAGTAAGTTTGGCTGTCAATTCATTTAATAGCTTGGATTGAATTCCAGGTATTTGAAGTTTTTTGAATGTTAGTTTGTAAGGCTCTTCCCATTTATGGTGCTTGTTATAGGCAGATAGTTTATATATACACTATCTTGAAATAGTTATCTTCAGCAGTTTGAAACATTTGTGGTAATGGGATGTCTGGTGTGAATAATTTAGTGTTCATTACTAATATTTGGTAGGACACTTCAGTGCAGCATTATATTAACAGATTGGACATGTCTAATGGTTTTGTTTCTTTTCTTCTTAGACTAGTAGAAAATTGAAGGGTTTGGTACCATTAGACAATAGTGTTAGGAAACACTTTCAAGTTGTGGCATTTAGTAAGACACTTGTGGGAAAAAAAATTTTAGCTAATTTAGTGTAATCTTATCATTGATGTAAATTTTTACATCATTTCCACTAATCAATGTTCCATAGCTAACTTTAGTCTATATTTGTTAGTTAATTTAATCTATTAAAATGCCTAAAATTTATCTTTTGCAGTTTAACGTGATAACTATAAAAATGAAAGTCTAGTTTGGTATGCAAAGCTTTTAAGTTGTCAAAATTAGTTTTCACTTATAAAATATAATGTTGCTTAAAGGTATAATATTACCTTTTTATATATAACTTGTTACTTATATTTTTTTAAAGATAAAACTGATAAACTTAAGTTTATTAGTTAATTATATAAAGCTATAATATAAGTTTATATATAACCAAGTTATAATATAAACTTTAACTTGGTTATATAAACATATTATAGCTTTAATAATAATAAACTTAAGTTTATATTAGCTTTATATATTTTGTATTATACCTTTATAATATATGTTTATTATAGCTTTATATAAACTTATAGCAAGTTTAGATATTGTTAGAAAGACTTTGTAATAGAAATTTCCAGCATGATTAAATTATAGCTACTTTCAGGATAAAGTATATAAAGTATTTTCATTAAAAGATTTATTAAATAGTATACAATATAACTAATGTTGACAATTTTGTTTCAGGTTGAGGTTTCAACTGAAGACTTCAAAGGCCAGGAAAACATCCAGAGTACCAAGGACATCAACCACCTGTAAAAGAAAAATAAAGTATATCAAACAGGGACACTCATTTTATTAACACTAACACATACAAATTACTACAAAAACCCCTAAGTCCCAATCTTTTAAGATTGGCTCAGCAAGGCCTACCCCTTACTTCCATTTGAGGCAGGACTTGTTGGCTGAAACAGTGGAACACATCTTTTGGTTTAGTGCCCTCAACATGATGTACATAGGCTTCACAACAAGCCTATGTACATCATGTTCCAGGCACTAAACCTCTGGATGTATCCACTCTTTCAGTGAACAAGCCCTGTAGTTATTAACAATGTTTGCACATTGTTAAGGGTCCCTACACCTATGCAATTCTAGTCCATCTATTGGATGGGTAGTAGAGCAGGGCTCTGAAAAAGCCAAGCCAGGGAAATCTGCAGGACTGCCTGGTCCCCTTCTATGAAATGGGGTAGGATCAGTACAAACTGCATCAATCCCTGCAGGTGGTAACAGTAGGACTTTGGTACACATCTATAAATGGACTAGATAAAAAAAGAAAGCAAGTTAATTATTTGATATAGCTAAAACATTTAATTCAACATACCAGTTTATTGGAATGTGCAGAGTAGAACAGCCACACTTCTTAAGCCAGTCAATTCCTTGATGCCATCATAATCTTCATTACCACCTGAAACATTTAACCAAATTAGCTTATAAATTTTGTATTAAAAGTTGCTTTGCAAACTCAAATGGCTAATGTGCCTTATAATTTTAACATCTCACTAATGCTAATCAAGCAAAAGACTTAGATATGGCTACTCAAACTATTTAAGTTTAACAAGTACTTTAAAGTAGAGAAAGATAATTTTTACTTTACATTATCTACATGCAACCACTGATGCCTTACTTATTTTTCTATTTAAAATATTCACCAACACTTACCCCATTCTGAATGTCCAACACCTTCAAACTCTACAATGAACAGCTGGACTTCCCAATTCTTATTCTGAAAGAAAAAGCCTATTTAAACTAGTTACATTAAAAAATATGAGGTACAGTTACTAGTCAATATTTAATTTGTCTCTTGCACCATTATTTTTTGTTGAACTTTTAATTAAAAACAAATCCATGAGGTCAATTTACCTCCCTGTTGCAATTTTTTTACAATGTCATGGGACATTTGAACCCTCATCACAGCCCTTGTGGATTTGGTCATTTGATGCATCACACTATTGGGTGTGCAATTTATAGATGGAAAAACTTTTAGCCAATTATTTAAGAACTAAGTAACTGAACAAAGTTAAGCAAACCAATTACCATTTAAATCAATATTTCTAAATACCCTCAATTATTAAATTGAATAAAATGTAAAGTGACCATTTTAAAATTTCTTTGCTATTCAAAACAATTCCTGCAGGACTAAACTTTTATTGTACCCCACTTGTCAAGGCCTAGAACTACAGTTTTTATCCCCCATTTCCAGGCCCCTTCACTATTTACCTAAATATTTTAATACTACTAATTATAGCAGTAAACTTAACTGTCAGAATGATAGAGGGCAAAAGTATCTTGGCAATTTCAGGCCTTTAGTCCCCCCACAAAGCAGCCCATTACAGCTGACTTAACTCACAGGGGCATAGGGTGAAAAACTCAGCCCACCATTTCTTGCCAGCATTCAACCTGGGACCACAGGATCACATCTCCAGTGTGCTGTCTGCTCAGCCCAGCCCCTGTGCTACTTTCTGTAGCATACAAGTTCCACCAATTGACACTGTTCCTGAAGTTATGTTGGAAGCACCCTCCACAACCTGTCAATGAAACATTTAATATGGTTAATAAAATTTTTCCCCACAGCAATGTTTAAACTTAAATATTTGCCTTTTTCAAAATACACTAATAAATTACCTACTTCCCCCACCCCATCTTTCATTTATTGATTCTAGAAAAAAGCCCTTTTAGTAACAATTTGGTAACAATTTAAAAAGTAGCATACTGAAATCTTATTTTCAATTATAATTTAAAGTTAGGATTCCCCCACCCCTGCATCCCCATATTGGTAATACAATTTATATAGCTAAAACATGTAATTCAACATACCAGCTTCATAGATGTGCCGAGTAGAACAGCCACTCGCTGCTTTGATACCATTGTAATCTAGCAAAGTACCTGAAACATTTAACCAAATTAGCTTAGAAATACAGCTTTTTACTCTAGTTTCTTTGCAAATTCACAATGGTAGTGTTCCTTTAAAATTGGCTAAAATTTTAAGTTTTATTAATGCTAATCAAGCAATTAAAAAGGTAGATATGGCTATTCAAGCTAAGTTTCTTTAGTACATTTAAGTGGAGAAAGATACTTCAGACATAATGCTACATTGTTTAACTTTACTATTTAATATATAATGCAAATCTTTAATTTATTATTACTACCACACTCACCCGATTCTGAATGTCGAGCAATCAACACCTTCAAACTCTAGGATGTTCTGGACTTCCTAATCTATAGTCTGAAAGAAAAAGCATATTTAAACTTCAATTATATTACAATTAGATGAAGTACAGTTACCAGTTATTTTTTGTTTTAACTTTTTTTACTTTCAATTATGAAATTCTGTTACAAACATTTATATGAACAAGTTTTAGATGCAAACAAGCCCTGTGAGAATTAACAATGTAACCATTGTTAAGGGTCCCTAAACCTATGCAAATCTAGTCCATCTATTAGATGGGTAGTAGAGCAAAGCTCTGAAAAAGCCAAGCCAGGGAAATCTGCAGGACTGCCTGGTCCCCTTTTATGAAATGGGGTAGGATCAGTACAAACTGCATCATCCCCTGTGGGTTGTAACAGTAGGACATGGTTACACACCTATAAATGGACTAGATAAGAGAATTAAGATTAGGTCATTGATATAGCTAAAACATCAAATTCAAACTCACCCACTTTTGCAGAGTAAAGGAGCCTCACTCCAAGCCAGTCCATGCATCATAATCACTTTCACCTGAAAAATATTTCAACAAATTAATTTCAGATTTAAAGCCAATCTTGCTTTACTTTTCAAATTAGCATTCAGTACTTTACAAATTCAGATGGAAAAAATTTCTTTAAGGAATTTACCTTTCCTACATATTCTAGTAGCAGTAGTAAAGATCTAATTTAGCAATATAAATATATATGGCATCAATTTGCCAAGTTTCAGTAAATGTCATTCGAGAAACTATCCACAACTGCACTTCAATGGCAATTTACATTTATCTTATAGCATTGCTATAGATAAGTTATTACTATTTTTTTACTTTTATGCAAATCTATTCAGATTAACCTTTACTACAACTCACCTGATTCTGTTGAAGGAGGGACTTCTGGACTTTCTAAACCACATTCTGGAAAATATAAATTTAAAACCAAGCTAAAGTAAACAGAATATTATTTTTACTTTCAAGGGAAAAATACCATCACTTAGAACAGAACTTTTCCTGCCATTAACTTATTTGACTTCTGATTACCCTTAAGTGTTATACATTTATAGATTAAAGCTTATTTAACAAACATTTAATGTTTAGTTAACAAGATTTATATTTCATTAAAATTTTATTAATAAAACACCCTCAACTATGCCGTTTAAGATCTAATGCCCCACATTACAATTTTCACAATTTCAACATACCATTCTATTCAATACATTCCTGAAAGGACTAAACTTGCAGATATGGTACCCACTAGCCTAAGCCTAGACTTCCATACCCATTCAATTTCCATACCCTAATATTTAATAGGTTTTTAGCAATTAACTTCTACCCTCTAATTCCAATGTACACAACACTACTTACTGTAGATCTGCAAGTATTTTCCTGCAGCTCTTTGTTGCCAGGACCTTCCACAACCTGTCATGTGAACAGTAAATATTACTAAAAAGTTATTTGCATAGCTATGTTATTTTGTTCATACCTGTACCACCAGTTTAACAGTTGCCGTTTTAAATGGCACACTAACTATCTTTTTGTCCCACCTTTATTACAAACAAAGCTATAGTCATTTCAAGTCAACATCCTATACAAATTTTATTTTCCAACAACTTTAGTCAAGAACATTTTTCTGGAACATTGCAAAAACTTTAATTTAACAACCATGTATAACATTTGAATAAAAGCAATACAAAATTTATATATACAAATTCTTATTCTTTTGCAACCACTGCTTACTACTATGGGGACAAATTTATTCTGTTGAATTATGTACCAAGCTTTTTAGTCTGAAAATTAAATTAACTGTTCAACCCAACTCTTGAGTGTCAAAAGGGAGGGGGGGGGGGGTGTCCATTTAATGTACCACTTACATTTTAGTGTGGGCTTCATCCACTATTCTGATGTTAGCTGGAACATTTGTGCCAGCTGCTGGTTTGAAAGGGAGGCATACCATGTGCCAATTCAGGAAGCTTTCCACGTTCCTCACTGCATGTCAGCTCAGGACCTCACTACCATGTTGGGAGGCAGTTGAAGACTAACCAATCAACATCCCAGGCTGGAGAGCAGTGCCAGCTCGGGGAGAATTTACCACCTGCAAAAAATTTAATACTCTTAACAATCTACACCATCTATCTCATCTTTACCTAGCCCCCAAACCTTACATTTGTCAGCATTAAACTGCATCTGGTAGTCTTAACCATTTCAAAACTATATAGGGCATCGGTATTTTTTATTTGCCAATTCTGCAACTATTGCAGTCTAAACCATAATCTTGCGAATAACCGAGGTCCAAGGAGAGCTTTTAGGCACTACTTACAACACTTCTCCCAACTTAACCCCATTTATACTAATTTCCTTTGGTATAGCCATGACCTAATCAACTTCAGTCAGCATTCCCAATGATCCGAGCCCCTATCAATTTTGCGCCACTATCAAAATCTCTGCTGAAGTCAAGGTACACAAAATCACAAACCTTATCACTATTTCCTCAACTATGCAACCTAATCCATGAACATTTAGTAATAAAACTATGCGATTCATGTATCTAGTCATGTTTCTCAAAAAGAGTAGAGAAATGGCACTTGCAATGTTAGATTCTAGTAACTTTCCTCACAATAGACTAAGCTAATTGGTCACTAACTTAAGCGTTAAAGTTAACTCAAACTTTTCCTTTAAAACTTGCTATATTAGGAACTTTCCACGACCGGCCTTTACCCGACATAATTAAATAGGGTAAAAACGGTATATTAAATGCAGTAAAACTACGGTAAATTCAATATGATAAACTTGCATTCTTTAAGCATGGGCTGCATAGTAAGTGAACTAAACTAAATGTTAAGCACCCTGGCAAACCACTTCGTTCTATTCAATTTCTTTATTTAATCACTTTGTCCGGCTAGAATTTTTAGATTAGATTAAAGGAACACCCTCCCTGGTAACGGCTGAACTAGTTAACCAAATACAAATATTTAGGTAAAATACTTTCATAAAACCCGTCTACTTCCCCCACCAGTAGACTTGTTCAGCTAAAGGCATAATGTAATGTTCCACTTTAGTAAATAAAGACTTAAAAAAACACTACCCCATCTGTGTAGTTACCGGTTACCTGACATTCTACGCTTAAAATAACCCATCTATTCCCCATAATTGTTCGATATAACTTACCTCTCACCCGCTGGTCGAGTACACAGCAGTATATATCCTCCTCCATCACTCACCGCGTGGATACTATTTCACTCTGGCCGCAAATTGCCTCAAATCACCTACGTTGTCCATAAACATATATAGAAGAGCAACTGACCGTAACACCCGTATAGCGATCATCACATAACGTGGGAACATTAGTAGTACTGCTGTCAAAACATAGATGGCGCCAGGACAAACGGTAATTCCTATGGACTCGCCTAGTTATGCGTAGGGAATTGAGCTTCAGCTGTTTGGTCCCGCCCCTCAGCTGTATTCACCTAGTTGTACTCACCTAATTTGTGCTTGCAGGGGTTGAGCTTTGGTTCTTTGGTCCCGACTCTCAACCGTCAATCAACAGGTGTACAGGTTCCTGAGCCTATTGGGCTCTATCACATCTACATTTGAAATTGTGTATGGAGTCAGCCTCCACCACATCACTGCTTAATACATTCCATTTGTTAACTACTCTGACACTGAAAAAATTCTTTCTAATATCTCTGTGGCTCATTTGGGTACTAAGTTCCCCTTGTTCGTGTTCCACCCGTGTTAAAGAGCTGTCTTTGTAACTATCAAAATGCATATATCTTTGCTTTCACTTCAGTTATATTTATGACAAGGGATTTAAAATTTGCCTATATTTCTGCTTCTCTGATGACATTAAAAACTTTCGTTTATTACAGTATCTACATAAAATTAACATTTATCTTCATTAGGTTGTAGTTCTCATCAATAGGGAGAGCGTCGGTAAAAAAAAAAAATTGTTTAAATATAAATATCTTTCCTCTCTCAATAATATGCCCGAAACGCTATGCGTACTAGTGGCTTTAGGTATTGAATGTACTAGCTCTATCTATAAATCAAATATTATGTTTGTAAATCGACTATTTATGTACTTTCCTGAATAAAATGAACTTTACTTTACTAATATCTAATCTCTGTGACTAAAACGTAAGAACGACTTTATCTATGCCTTTTTGATAACATATACAATTATAAGCTTTATTAGTGAATCTCTATTAATTAAAC